GCAATAGGAAGCAGAGAGTTACAGTGAGCGGTGAGACCTCCGATTGGCGTGAAGTCACCAGTGGAGACCCACAGGGCTCTGTACTCGGTCCTATCTTGTTTCTGGTATATGTAAATGATCTCCCGGAGGGTATAGATTCATTTCTCTCAATGTTTATGGACGATGCCAAAATTATGAGAAGGATTGAGACAGAGGAGGACTGTTTGAGGCTTCAAGAAGACCTAGACAAGCTGAAGGAATGGTCGAACAAATGGTTGTTAGAGTTTAACCCAACCAAATGTAATATAATGAAGATAGGTGTAGGGAGCAGGAGGCCAGATACAAGGTATCATCTGGGAGAGGAAATTCTTCAGGAGCCAGAGAAGGAAAAAGACTTGGGGTTGATATCACGCCAGACCTGTCTCCTGCAGCACATATCAAGCGGATAACATCAGCGGCATATGCCAGGCTGGCCAACATACGAACGGCATTCAGAAACTTGTGTAAAGAATCATTCAGAACTTTGTATACCACATATGTCAGGCCAATCCTGGAGTATGCAGCCCCAGCATGGAGTCCATATCTAGTCAAGGATAAGACTAAACTGGAAAAGGTTCAAAGGTTTGCCACCAGACTAGTACCGGAGCTGAGGGGTATGAGCTACGAGGAGAGACTACAGGAATTAAACCTCGCGTCAGTAGGAGACAGATGAGTTAGGGGGGACATTATCACCACATTCAAGATTCTCAGAGGAATTGATAGGGTAGATAAAGACAGGCTATTTAACACAAGGGGCACACGCACAAGGGAACACAGGTGGAAACTGAGTGCCCAAATGAGCCACAGAGATATTAGAAAGAACTTTTTTAGTGTCAGAGTGGTTGACAAATGGAATGCATTAGGCAGTGATGTGGTGGAGGCTCACTCCATACACAGTTTCAAGTGTAGATATGATAGAGCCCAATAGGTTCAGGAACCTGTACACCAGTTGATTGACGGTTGAGAGGCGGGACCAAAGAGCCAGAGCTCAACCCCCGCAAGCACAACTAGGAGGTCACTATAACAGAGCAACAACACACACTTAGCGTGTTCTCTAACATTACACAACAGACTGGTGATATAATACCCATGCACTAAGCTCTTGCACAAGCTGGTGGATCCAGCTTAACTACGGCGCTGTTGCAGGCGACTGTTGTAGCGTGCATGGGCGGCTCACGGCTCCACGGATTACACCTTCTACCCAAATAACTTTGCAACATCCCCCCTTCCCCTCCCCCCTCAACCCCCATCCCCCCCCTAACCCCCCTCCCCCGTCTTAGGGCCCCCTTCTCCCCCACCTCCTTCAATCCATCTGAGTGAAAAGTTATAAGAGGCGGCGACCTCTTAACAACCCTGCCAACATCACAATCTACCAACAATCTACCAACAGTCTACTATCTACGCCTGAGGGCACCACGCCCCCCCCCCCTTCAATAAAGTCTACCTTGAACGCGTGACCAGAATTTCTACGTGAATTTCTTGACATACTTCAAGACGCGTGTTCTTACCAGCTAGTGTCCACGCGGGCGGGGCTCCAGCTCCTGGTCTCCGGCTTTCTAGTGCTCTTTCGTGGCCATGTTGTATATTATAGAGTATGCCTCTATACTTGTGTATGTTTTTGTGTATATTATGTTTAAGGCTCTTTTGGTTTATCTCTAAATGCCTCTTTTTAATCTTTCGGCTCTAATCTTGCAGCTCTTTGGCCCTCCTTGGCGCTGCGTATGCCAGTATGTGTCTGACGTAGGTGGTGTGTGGGTAAATGATCTTCTGACTTATTTTCAGAAGCGTTATCTTGAGGTTATCTTGAGATGATTTCGGGGCTTTAGTGTCCCCCGCGGCCCGGTCCTCGACCGGGCCTCCACCCCCAGGAAGCAGCCCGTGACAGCTGACTAACTCCCAGGTACCTATTTACTGCTAGGTGAACAGGGGCATAGGGTGAAAGAAACTCTGGGATCGAACCCGGGATTTGTTATATATATGCTAACAGTGTTTATTCCTTAGATGTTAACCTGCGTGTAGTTAATAATAATATAATTTATGCAGCGCTCCTGTGCCAGGTAAGTCCACTACGGGCTCACCATAGCCCGTGCTACTTGCCCCGCTCCTGTGCCAGGTAAGTCCACTACGGGCTCACCATAGACCGTGCTACTTGCCCCGCCCTGTGCCAGGCAAGTCCACTGTGCCCGTGCTAGGTAAGTCCACTACGGGATCACCATAGCCCGTGCTACTTGCCCCGCTCCTGTGCCAGGTAAGTCCACTACGGGATCACCATAGCCCGTGCTACTTGGAATTTTTTGTTCCAAGTAGCGAATCTTTAAGAACAACACAGATGCTGTTATAGTGCTATGTCTCAGATGAGTCTTTGCGTCTCTCTCTGTCTATTGTGAGTTCTCTCAGTGCTTGGGACCCTGTCTCCTGTCTCAGCCAGAAACTGAACTGATTTGGCTCTAAGGAGCACTGGAGGGGGGGGGGACTTGGTTGTTGGGGGTCTTAGGGGGAGCGTCCTTGTCGTTCTCCTTGAGTGTGAGTGCGTGTGTGAGTGAGTGCGTGCGCTGAGTGCTCCAGGAGCCCTCAGAGAAACCTTCTCTATCACCTTGACACCTTTGGAGTGTTTTCGTTCTACTTCAAATGCCTTTTCCGTTCGTTGTTCTTCAACCGTTCACTCTCTCCCTGTTCTTCAGCCGTTCACTCTCTCCCTGTTCTTCAGCCGTTCACTCTCTCCCTGTTCACTCTCTCCCTGTTCTTCAACCGCCGTCGTCACTCTCACTCCCTGTTCTTCAACCGTTCACTCACTCCCTGTTCTTCAACCGTTCACTCTCTCCCTGTTCTTCAGCCGTTCACTCTCTCCCTGTTCTTCAGCCGTTCACTCACTCCCTGTTCTTCAGCCGTTCACTCTCTCCCTGTTCTTCAGCCGTTCACTCACTCCCTGTTCTTCAACCGTTCACTCACTCCCTGTTCTTCAGCCGTTCACTCACTCCCTGTTCTTCAGCCGTTCACTCTCTCCCTGTTCTTCAACCGTCCACTCACTCCCTGTTCTTCAACCGTTCACTCACTTCCTATTCTTCAACCGTTCACTCACTCCCTGTTCTTCAACCGTTCACTCACTCCCTGTTCTTCAACCGTTCACTCTCTCCCTGTTCTTCAACCGTCCACTCACTCCCTGTTCTTCAACCGTTCACTCACTCCCTGTTCTTCAACCGTTCACTCTCTCCCTGTTCTTCACCGCCGTTCAACCGTCACTCCCTGTTCTTCAACCGTTCACTCTCTCCCTGTTCGTTCAACCTGTTCTTCCACTCTCTCCCTGTTCTTCAACCGTCCACTCACTTCCTGTTACCGTTCACTCTCTCCCTGTTCTTCAACCGTTCACTCAACCTCCCTGTTCTTCAACCGTTCACTCACTCCCTGTTCTTCAACCGTTCACTCACTCCCTGTTCTTCAACCGTTCACTCACTCCCTGTTCTTCAACCGTTCACTCACTCCCTGTTCTTCAACCGTTCACTCTCTCCCTGTTCTTCAACCGTTCACTCTCTCCCTGTTCTTCAACCGTTCACTCTCTCTGTTCTTCAACCGTTCACTCTCTCCCTGTTCTTCAACCGTTCACTCTCTCCCTGTTCTTCAACCGTCCACTCTCTCCCTGTTCTTCAACCGTTCACTCTCTCCCTGTTCGTCAACTGTTCACTCTCTCCCTGTTCTTCAGCCGTTCACTCTCTCCCTGTTCTTCAACCGTCCACTCACTCCCTGTTCTTCAACCGTTCACTCACTTCCTATTCTTCAACCGTCCACTCTCTCCCTGTTCTTCAGCCGTTCACTCTCTCCCTGTTCGTCAACTGTTCACTCTCTCCCTGTTCTTCAACCGTTCACCTGTTCTTCAACCGTTCACTCTCTCCCTGTTCTTCAACCGTTCACTCTCTCCCTGTTCGTCAACCGTTCACTCTCTCCCTGTTCTTCAGCCGTTCACTCACTCCCTGTTCTTCAACCGTCCACTCACTCCCTATTCTTCAACCGTTCACTCACTCCCTGTTCTTCAGCCGTTCACTCACTCCCTGTTCTTCAACCGTCCACTCACTTCCTTTTCTTCAACCGTTCACTCACTCCCTGTTCTTCAACCGTCCACTCACTCCCTATTCTTCAACCGTTCACTCACTCCCTGTTCTTCAACCGTCCACTCCCTGTTCTTCAGCCGTTCACTCACTCCCTCCCTGTCTCCCCCTGTATCTCTACCTCCTGTCTCTTTCCACAGGCGGGGACAGGAACAGAGGACTGTTCACTCCTGTCTCCCCCTTCTCATATCTCACTCTCAGCCACTGTGCCCCTGGAACTACACCCGACAGTAGCTCATGAACCAGGTCCCCAACACTGCTGGGTGAACAGGAGGATACGGGTAAGGATAGAGGCACGTCCTAGCTAGGAATCCTAGCTGGCTAGGATTCGAAACCCCGCAGACAGGATGGTAGAAGTGGCTGCCTGCTGTCACACCGTCAGCCACGGGACTCCGTCCTGGGCTGACGGAATACGTCCTAAAAACGTCGTTTGTTGGATTTCAAGGAAGTTACTGTCTAAGGCTTGATTTGTTTTGAGTCCTGCGGCTCGTGTAGTTACTGATGTTGTTCCTTTTGGGTTGTTACTTGTTGCACTTACTGTTCCTTGAGGTGTTCCTTGAGGTGCTCCTTGAGGTGCTCCTTGTGGTGTTCCTTATGGTGGTCCTTGAGGTGCTCCTTGAGGTGCTCCTTGTGGTGTTCCTTGAGGTGCTTGAGGTGCCTTGAGGTGCTCCTTGTGGTGCTTGAGGTGCCTTGAGGTGCTCCTTGTCCTTGTGTTCCTTGAGGTGCTCCTTGAGGTGCTCCTTGTGGTGTTCCTTGAGGTGCTCCTTGAGGTGCTCCTTGTGGTGTTCCTTGAGGTGCTCCTTGAGGTGCTCCTTGTGGTGTTCCTTGAGGTGCTCCTTGAGGTGTTCCTTGAGGTGCTCCTTGAGGTGCTCCTTGAGGTGCTCCTTGTTCCTTGAGGTTCCTTGAGGTGCTCCTTGAGGTGCTCCTTGAGGTGCTCCTTGAGGTGTTCCTTGAGGTGCTCCTTGAGGTGCTCCTTGAGGTGCTCCTTGAGGTGCTCCTTGTGGTGTTCCTTGAGGTGCTCCTTGAGGTGCTCCTTGAGGTGCTCCTTGTGGTGTTCCTTGAGGTGCTCCTTGAGGTGCTCCTTGAGGTGCTCCTTGAGGTGCTCCTTGAGGTGTTCCTTGAGGTGTTCCTTGTGGTGTTCCTTGAGGTGCTCCTTGTGGTGTTCCTTGAGGTGCTCCTTGAGGTGCTCCTTGAGGTGCTCCTTGTGGTGTTCCTTGAGGTGCTCCTTGAGGTGCTCCTTGAGGTGCTCCTTGAGGTGTTCCTTGTGGTGTTCCTTGTGGTGTTCCTTATGGTGGTCCTTGTGGTGTTCCTTATGGTGGTCCTTGTGGTGTTCCTTGTGGTGTTCCTTATGGTGGTCCTTGTGGTGCTCCTTGTGGTGCTCCTTGTAATGTTCCTTGTGGTGTTCCTTATGGTGGTCCTTGTGGTGTTCCTTGTAGTGTTCCTTGTAGTGCTCCTTGTGGTGCTCCTGTGGTGTTGTAGTGTTCCTTGTGGTGCTCCTTGTGATGTTACTGTTACTTATAACACTTACATGGGCTCCATCTCTTCTCCCACCTCCCCCCCCTTAAGGGCAGTTACCCCCCCCCATCCTTCTCTCTCTCCCCCTCCTCCCATCACCCCCTCCCCCCCATAAACTTCACACCCCCCCCTCCCTCACCCCATAATGGCTCTTGAGTGAGCTCGCAATTTGCGTGTGGGCTAATTCCCCCCCCCCCCCCACTTATAATACCACTGTCTGTCTGTACGAGGGGAAGGGGGGGGGGGGGAGTGGGGGTGTGGGGGGGGGGGATTACCAGGGGGGGATGGGAGGGGGGAGTTGTGGGGGGGGGGAAAGATAAGTGCAGGTGTTTCCCCTTGTTTGTTGCAGTTGACTCATGTAATGGGTGGTTGAGAGAGGGGGGCGGTGACCACAGGGGGCTAACTGACTTTTTAATGGGTGTGGTTATACTGGAGGGGGGATGGGGGGTGGGGTGGACAGGTGTATAGGGGTGCTGGGTGAAGGAAGATGGGGGGAGATATAGTGGGATTGAGTAAGAATACGGATCTTGTCATCAAAGTGATTTAGCCTCAGCTATTTCTAGTTTAATGGTCCATTAACTTACAGCCTCCGTTCAGGTGTTGAACAGTGTGAACACTGATGTTTGAACTGTTCCAATCAGTTATACATATCATGTTTGGTCCACCAGGCTGTTGCTTGGAGCGGCCCGCAGGCCCACATACCCACCACAGCCCGGTTGGTCCGGCACTCCTTGGAGGAATAAATCTAGTTTCCTCTTGAAGATGTCCACGGTTGTTCCGGCAATATTTCTTATGCTCGCTGGGAGGACGTTGAACAGTTGTGGACCTCTGATGTTCAATGTTCTCTGATTGTGTCTATGGCACCTCTACTCCTCACTGGATCTCTGATGTTCAGTGTTCTCTGATTGTGTGTATGGCACCTCTACTCTTCACTGGTTCTGTTCTGCATTTGACACGAATCAAAATGACGAATCTGTGACTGGTATTTTTGTCTGTATCAGAGATAAGAATGAGAATTCGTACCATTCTGATTGACAGAAAGTTGAAAATCTTGTTGCAAAATAATTGTATCGATTATAGTTCTAGTTTGCAATTGTGAATGCGTGTATTCACCAAGTTGTATTCACACAACTAGGTGAATACAGTTAGATGATACACACACACACACACACACACACACACACACACACACACACACACACACACACACACACACATACATACATACACACACAGAAGAGGACTGCTTGAGGCTTCAAGAAGACCTAGACAAGCTGAAGGAATGGTCGAACAAATGGTTGTTAGAGTTTAACCCAACCAAATGTAATGTAATGAAGATAGGTGTAGGGAGCAGGAGGCCAGATACAAGGTATCATCTGGGAGAGGAAATTCTTCAGGAGTCAGAGAAGGAAAAAGACTTGGGAGTTGATATCACGCCAGACCTGTCTCCAGCAGCACATATCAAGCGGATAACATCAGCGGCATATGCCAGGCTGGCCAACATACGAACGGCATTCAGAAACTTGGTAAGGAATCATTTAGAACTTTGTATACCACATATGTCAGGCCAATCCTGGAGTATGCAGCCCCAGCATGGAGTCCATATCTAGTCAAGGATAAGACTAAACTGGAAAAGGTTCAAAGATTTGCCACCAGACTAGTACCCGAGCTGAGAGGTATGAGCTACGAGGAGAGACTACGGGAATTAAACCTCACTTCGCTGGAAGACAGAAGAGTTAGGGGGGACATGATCACCACATTCAAGATTCTGAAGGGGATTGATAGGGTAGATAAAGACAGTCTATTTAACACAAGGGGAACACGCACAAGGGGACACAGGTGGAAACTGAGTGCCCAAATGAGCCACAGAGATATTAGAAAGAACTTTTTTAGTGTCAGAGTGGTTGACAAATGGAATGTATTAGGCAGTGATGTGGTGGAGGCTGACTCCATACACAGTTTCAAGTGTAGATATGATAGAGCCCAATAGGCTCAGGAACCTGTACACCTGTTGATTGACAGTTGAGAGGCGGGACCAAAGAGCCAGAGCTCAACCCCCGCAAGCACAATTAGGTGAGTACACACACACACACACACACACACACACACAGGAAGCAGCCCAAGCAGCTGTCAAACTACCAGGTACCTATTTACTGCTAGGTAACAGGCACATCAGGGTGAAAGAAACTCTGCCCATCTGTTTCCGCCGGCGCCGCGAATCGAACCCCGGGCCACAGGACAACATATCCAGGGTGCTGTCCACTCAGCCACCAGCACCCCCCCCCTACCCCTGTGCGTGTGCGTTTACGCTTGCGTAGACGCGTGAAGTGATCATTTACGCGTGCAAGAGTGACTCATTGCGTCACTGGTGCGTTGAAAGCGACGCTTCGCCAGACGCTAGAGGCGTGACGAAGGTGTCCCCCCTACAGGACGCCAGGGGGACACCCACACCTGCAAGGGGGCAGGGAACATCCACACCTGCAAGGGGGCAGGGGACACCCACACCAACAAGGGGCAGTGGACACCCACTCCAACAAGGGACAGTGGACACCCACACCAACAAGGGGCAGGGGACACCCACTCCAACAAGGGGCAGTGGACACCCACTCCAACAAGGGACAGTGGGACACCCACACCAACATGGGGCAGGGGACACCCACTCCAACAAGGGGCAGGGGACACCCACACCAACAGGGGGGGACACCCACTCCAACAAGGGGCAGGGGACAAGGGACAGGGGACACAGACTCCAACAGGGACAGGGGACACCCACACCAACAAGGGACAGGGGACACCCACCAACAAGGGACAGGGGACACCCACTGGGGACACCCACTCCAACAAGGGACAGGGGACACCCACTCCAACAAGGGACAGGGGACACCCACTCCAACAAGGGACAGGGGACACCCACTCCAACAAGGGACAGGGGACACCCACTCCAACAAGGGACAGGGGACACCCACTCCAACCCACCCACCAACAAGGGACAGGGGACACCCACCCACACCAACAAGGGACAGGGGACACCCACACCAACAAGGGACAGGGGACACCCACACCAACAAGGGACAGGGGACACCCACACCAACAAGGGACAGGGGACACCCACACCAACCAACAAGGAACAGGGGACACAAGGGACCACACCAACAAGGGACAGTGGACACCCACACCAACAAGGGACAGACACCCACACCAACAAGGGGACACCCACACCAACAAGGAACAGGGGACACCCACACCAACAAGGGGACAGTGGACACCCACACCAACAAGGGACAGGGGACACCCACTCCAACAAGGGACAGGGGACACCCACACCAACAAGGGACAGGGGACACCCACACCAACAAGGGACAGGGGACACCCACACCAACAAGGGGACAGTGGACACCCACTCCAACCACACCCACCAACAAGGGACAGTGGACACCCACACCAACAAGGGACAGGGGACACCCACACCAACAAGGGACAGGGGACACCCACACCAACAAGGAACAGGGGACACCCACACCAACAAGGGACAGGGGACACCCACACCAACAAGGGACAGGGGACACCCACTCCAACAAGGAACAGGGGACACCCACACCAACAAGGGGACAGGGGACACCCACACCAACAAGGGGACAGTGGACACCCACTCCAACAAGGGACAGGGGACACCCACTCTTGAAATGTTTAAAACATCTAAATATATGCCCAAAGATAAAACAATTAGAAATATCATATTAAAATAACAAAATCGAATCATTAACTTAAAAACTCTTAAACACAGCAACTGTAGAAATAGGAGAATATGTGTTTTTTTCCTCTATGCCGTTTTTTGGTTCAGTTTTATTTATGTCTAATTTTAATTTGAACTCTGACCAATCAGCGCTTTGTTCTGCCCGGCCTCAAGGCCTTGCTGAAATTATATAATTTTTCCTGACATAGAACGATGTTGAATACGTGTAGAGTGAAAATATATATATATATATATATATATATATATATATATATATATATATATATATATATATATATATATATATATATATATATATATATATATATATATATATAGTGTGTGAGGGTACCACCTCTGGTGCCAATGTGGGGACTCATAATATATATATATATATATATATATATATATATATATATATATATATATATATATATATATATATATATATATATATATATAGCCAAAATCCATACATGTATATGTATCAAATTTCCGAATGAACAATTCCAACAGTCCCACGAACATTATGTCTTCTTCAAGAGAGAACTGGATAAGCACCTCCAAAGGATACCTGATCAACCAGGCTGTGACTCATACGTCAGGCTGCGAGCAGCCGCGTCCAACAGCCTGGTTGACCAGTCCAGCAACCAGGAGGCCTGGTCGACGACTGGGCCGCGGGGTTGCTAAGCTCTGAAATCAGTACATATTGGTACTTTCTGGCGGTCCATCACTACATATTGGTACTTTCTGGTGGTCCATCACTACATATTGGTACTTTCTGGTGGTCCATCACTACATATTGGTACTTTTTGGTGGTCCATCACTACATATTGGTACTTTCTGGTGGTCCATCACTATATATTGGTACTTTCTGGTGGTCCATCACTACATATTGGTACTTTCTGGTGGTCCATCACTACATATTGGTACTTTCTGGTGGTCCATCCCAACGTATTGGTACTTTCTGGTGGTCCATCACTACATATTGGTACTTTTTGGTGGTCCATCACTACATATTGGTACTTTCTGGTGGTCCATCACTATATATTGGTACTTTCTGGTGGTCCATCACTACATATTGGTACTTTCTGGTGGTCCATCACTACATATTGGTACTTTCTGGTGGTCCATCCCAACGTATTGGTACTTTCTGGTGGTCCATCACTACATATTGGTACTTTCTGGTGGTCCATCCCAACGTATTGGTACTTTCTGGTGGTCCATCACTACATATTGGTACTTTCT